TACTGCAAGATTGGTTTGAACCACAAGGTCAGTGGTTCAAACTCACCACCAGAAACCCTACACAGGGTCGCTATAAGTTGGAACCAAATCCACAGTACTTAACACCAATCCAAGAAACTCTGGAAAGACTGTAAAATTCACTCTCAAATTTAAAATAGCCCTAAATTTACCTGACATAGTATGCACGGACAACACCATGGAATATACTCCAATTAAGGTAGCCTGAATTATTAGAAGAATTGGGACACCAATAAAGAAAAATGGATGCTTGGTGAGTTGCTGTTGTTTGCTAGTTATTTTGTTTGTTTTCATTTGGGAAGATGGGGTTATAAACATAATTGACTTTAAGGAGCCGCAGGATACACAGGTGCATATAATCAGCAGAGAAATAGAAATCAGGGTTAAAGATGCAGATTTGGATGCCATTTTCATCAAATAGTGATGATAAATCATAAGAGACTACAGCCTGGTGTGGCACTGTAAGATAAGTACCAGACTGGTAGCTGCAAGGTTGGCAGTTCAAACTAACCAGCTCCTCTCAGAAATCAGGGTTTCTATGAGTTGGAAGTGACTCGAGAGCACACAAAAACATACAAAAGACAAATGAAGAAGTAAAACTGGAGGTATCCAAGTAGATATTGCTATGCATGTTCCTATTTATTTTTTATGATTATAATTCTATATCTATATGAATAAAAGAAGAAAGAAAGGCATTTGTAAAAACATTTATGTATAATTTTGTTCTTAATCTAGGATGTGACAATTACCTAAATCCTTATCTCTTTTTCATCCAGAATTCTTTTCAGTTTTCTGACACCATTTCTCACAGAAGGGAAACCAAAGTAAAAGTTGGAAGAAAGTGTAGAAATTATTAATAATCGATGTTTTGGAGAAAATCTACACAGTAACTGATAATAAAATTGGTTTCAATCCATAATGTGAATTCATAGAGATAGAATTTTTACAGAAAAGGTTTTTGTTTTTATTTTTCAAAATGTTTCTTTTTAAAAGATGCTTCCTTTTACCACACTGTGTTTGAGACATTTCACACATAATATTGAGCTGGTATGAAAGAAATTTTTGTGAAAAATTGTTTGTTACATTACAATTTTAGAATAGGCCATTCAATGCTTTCCTGTCTCCCTCCCCTATCCTTCAGCCACTTCAGCCAATTGTTAATGCTTTGCTGTTTTCATTTCCGCATTTTGTATGTTGGATGATTTGTGTTTCTTTTTTTTTTTTTTAGCTTTTATTGTGAATTGAGTGATAGTTGTGTACATGGGAGAACATCGGTTTTACACTCATCGTTTCATTGCAATGCTCGATGCATCATCATTCAACAGTATTTTTGCTTCTATTCCCTCTGAGATTTTTTGGGGGGTGAACACAAAAAAACTCAGGAATATATAATCATTTAAACAATCAAAGGGCACATTATGCAAGCCTGCCTCCTAGCCTCCAGCACACAGCCTTTCTCTTTCTTTCCTTGAGTTTAGAGTCCTCAGCTGCTTTGTCTCTCCATGTCTTCATCTCGGCCTCCATCTCTGGTGTCACTGCTTCTCTGGATAGGTTGATTTGTTTTTGCTAGAAATCAGTATCAGTAGAACTGGAATTTCAGCCCTGGTACAATTTGTCCAATTTTTTTTTCAATATTATTAGGAGAAATATTTTGTATTCCTTTTGACCACTCATTATGAAAAACTGACATTTTTCCTTATGTGGCCATTATAGAAAGAATTTAATGGGGTGGGGCATGAGGGAGGGAGACAGGAAAGCATTGAATGGCCTATTCTAAAATTGTAATGTAACAAACAATTTTTCACAAAAATTTCTTTCATACCAGCTCAATATTATGTGTGAAATGTCTCAAACACAGTGTGGTAAAAGGAAGCATCTTTTAAAAAGAAACATTTTGAAAAATAAAAACAAAAACCTTTTCTGTAAAAATTCTATCTCTATGAATTCACATTATGGATTGAAACCAATTTTATTATCAGTTACTGTGTAGATTTTCTCCAAAACATCGATTATTAATAATTTCTACACTTTCTTCCAACTTTTACTTTGGTTTCCCTTCTGTGAGAAATGGTGTCAGAAAACTGAAAAGAATTCTGGATGAAAAAGAGATAAGGATTTAGGTAATTGTCACATCCTAGATTAAGAACAAAATTATACATAAATGTTTTTACAAATGCCTTTCTTTCTTCTTTTATTCATATAGATATAGAATTATAATCATAAAAAATAAATAGGAACATGCATAGCAATATCTACTTGGATACCTCCAGTTTTACTTCTTCATTTGTCTTTTGTATGTTTTTGTGTGCTCTCGAGTCACTTCCAACTCATAGAAACCCTGATTTCTGAGAGGAGCTGGTTAGTTTGAACTGCCAACCTTGCAGCTACCAGTCTGGTACTTATCTTACAGTGCCACACCAGGCTGTAGTCTCTTATGATTTATCATCACTATTTGATGAAA